TTTAGGAAACGATGCTATCTGAATCCTTGACCTGTTTAACAGACTTACCCCTTGGCTCGCTTTCTGGAAAATCCCAGAACTACATAAAAATCATTTCTAAAATCCCAATAGACACGTTTGGCCAAGAATGTCAGTTGTCTCTTGACAGTTTGGCATTAACCTTTAAATATTAGATTGTGTAATCATAATGCCATTCAGGGAAAATAAAGTGGTGGGTGGCTGGCATTTTAAAAGTGAAATGAACTTGGGTTCCTGGGAATGTTGATCATCATTCTACTGAAAAGGCTGATATTCCTTAATAGTTAAACACTAAGTAAGTAAAAAGCAGTATTTTACAAATAACTTAGAGGTGAGTAAAATGCAGGTTTTATGAATTTAACATATTTTTACCAGAACAGTATCTGAAGGGTGTCTTATATTTTCAGACTTTGAAAGTGAAACAGTAATGAACGAACCTTCTAGTGAGTTCCCGCCAGGCTACTAGTCTGACCAGCACATATCCAAAATAGATCATTATTTTTGTCATTGTAACCTGCCTTCTCATTTGCCTTCCTCGCCTGTGACTTTACAGCAGAGAGCAGAAAGAAACTCATGGCCAGTACCGTAAATACACATGGTAACAGTAGTCAAGTAATTTTACAGTTTTTGTGGGCAAGTCATTCATTCATGGTGATGGAATGACTTATTTTTAACGCAGTGTTTTTCTTTCAACTAAACTTAAAAATTCTTTTTTTTTTCCATCTGATTTAGTGTCTGTACCATTGCAAGGCAGCATAAATTTAGCACAGCTTCTTCATTTTACCAACTTTGTAGAAGTGTTTAAAGATTTCTTTCCGTTTACTTTTAGCTTTTCATATGAAATGGACTATAAGAACTCTTTAATTTACAGTATAATGTGTAATTAAAGACAGACCCAGTATATCTGGAATGTGGGTTGTACCAGGGATCCTGGGAAAGAGGAGATTTGGAGCATCAATTTCTAATCTCATTTTGACGTGACGTTTTCGAAAGGAAAATCTTTGGAAAATAGTTAAAAGCATGGACAGATCACAAAATGGAAGAAACTCACATTTACTGCATCCACCTGAAGGATAGAAAAGATATCTTTAATTTTCTAGAGGGGACATTCATGTAGATAACTTACACTTTTAAATGATTAATTAACTAATTGCTATAGATCAATGTCATTCATAACAAATTAGGTCTGGTAGGGAATGCTGCTTCTATGGATTTTTATATTGTAAAATTAGTTTGATTTCTTTTGTTAAACTCATTTAATCCTCTACCTTATTCCATTATTATTCTTGTAGTTTTTTTAGTTTAGTATCTGAGATATCTATGTGGCACTATAGTATATTCATTTTGACTACTTCTGGATACCTCCCAGTTAAACCGAAACATATATTAGGGAGCTCCAGATGGTGAAAAGGCACTAGTATACACTAATAGACACTAATAACAGCCTGTTGTATAAATGGCTTATAATTCTTTCAACCAGTTTCCTATTGATAAATACTTAAATTATGGACTTCCCTGGCAGTCCAGTGGTTAGAACTCTGTGCTTTCACTGCTGAAGGCCTGGGTTCGATCCCTGGCTGGGGAACGGAGATCCCACAAGCCACGTGGTATGGCCAAAGGAGAAATTCAAGACAAAAATACTCAAATTATTTTCATTTTAAAAATTTAAGTTCCATGCATCAGATAGTCTTACTTTTAGTAAACTTTTTAATTAAATAGGTATACAGAAAGTGCACAAATCATTTTTGTAGCTCACTGATAAATGGAACTGTAAACGTGTAATCCACACTCTAGAAGTCCCCCTCAAACCGCTTTACAGTGACCACAGTCCCCACTAGGGGGTAGCTGTCCTAATTTCTAGCATCTTGATTCATTTAGCCTGTTTGAGCTGTGTGTAAATGAAATCATACTGTGTGTGCTCTTTGGTATCTGGCTTCCTTTACTCAACTGTAATGTCTGTGAGAGTTCATCCATTTACTTGTAGTGGTTGTTACTGTTTTTGTTTTTGTTTTCTGACTATACTGTAGGGCATGTGGGATCTTAGTTCCCCCAGCAGGGATCAAACCCTCACCCCCTACGTTGGAAGTATAGAGTCTTAGCCACCAGACCACCAGGGAAGTTCCAGGTTCATTTTTATTGCTATGTAATATTCCGTTGGGTGACTGTACCACTGTTGTTGATTAGTTGCTAAGTCGTGTCTTTGTGACCCCACGGACTGTAGGCCACCAGGCTCCTCTGTCCCTGGGGTTTTCCCAGGCAAGAATACTGGAATGGGTTGCCATTTCCTTCTCCAGGGGATACTCCTGACCCAGAGATCGAATCCACGTCTCCTTCATTAGCAGGCAGATTCTCACTGAGCCACCAGAGAAGCCAGGCTGTACCATAATTCTCTTAATTGTTGATGAACTTTTGGGTTGTGACCTAACTTTTGGATATTACAAATAGTGTTATGTGAACATTCTTTTTAAAATTGTTTTTAATTATTGACTGGGCTGGGTTATTTATCGCCTCACGGACTTTTCTCCAGTTGTGGCAGGTGGGGCCTACTCTCTCGGTGCAGTGCAAGGGCTTCTCATTGTTGCTGAGCTCAGGCTCTAGGACACCTGGGCTTCAGTAGTTTTGGTTCCTAGGCTCTAGAGCACAGGCTCGACAATCTTGGTGCATGGGCTTAGTTGCCCAGTGGCATGTGGGATCTTCCTGGACCAGAGATCGAACCTCTGTCTCCTGCGTTGATGGGCGGATTCTTTACCTTTGACTAAGCCACCAGGGAGGCCTTATATGAACATTCTTAAACGTGTATTTTGGTGAACATAGCTCTTCCTGTCTACTAGCAGTGGTGCTGATGGATATAGGGCATATGTGTGTGCAGCTTACCATGCCAACAGTTTTCAAATGGTTGAAACTGTATCACACTCCTGCCAGCAGTGTTGGGTTTTGTTTTTTTTAAAAATAACTTCAAAGATGTGAAATCTGAGTGAAAGAATAAATTCATTTTAAGTTTTAGAGTATAGTGCTTAAATTTTGTTCTCAGGAATGCTAATTTATACTCCACTGAACACTGGGTTTTATCTAGCTCTCATCTCTATCAATTAATAATGGAAAATATCTCATTTTTAAACTACTTTAATGAGTTGGGCTTTTTATAGCTTAATTTCAGTTTTCTTAACTTGGCTGTTTTAGCCTTTTCTACCTAGTTTGTGCTTTGTCCTTTGTTTTTTATAATAAAGAAGTTTTAAATGTGTATGTGTGCTTGCATCTGCTAATTTTTCCCTCTGTGGTTTCTGCCTTTGGTGTCATTCTTAAGCCTTTTTATCTACAAAATTTTTTTGTTTGTTTTCTTTGAGAACTTAATTGTTTGTATTTAATTTTGTTTATTGTAACTAGATTTGACTTTTTCTTTCACTAATGCAAGGGAGCTGTTTTGGTTGTTTTTGTTTTAAAACAAGCACTTACTTTAACCTACTATATTAGCATTAGCTTTGGAATATTTGTAGGGGGATGTCAGAGTGTGACTGGCCAGGAAGAAGTTAGTACACCAAAACTTGCATTCATGTGTCATCTGACCATGAGAAATGAAGCCAATTTTCCAATGTGGTTGCTATTTGAATTCTTTCAGTGTGCATGTTATTAAAAGTAGTTAGTTTTTGTTTAGAAAAGAATGAGATCAAATAGACTACATTATCTTACTTAATATCTCTAGTTGCTCTTAAGCAAGGACTTTGCCAAAAATACACCTGACCTCTGTTCTGTGACCTACAGGACAGAGGATTTGGAGAGTCAAATTTCAAGCCTTAAAAAATAACATTTTTCTCTATTTAAGAGATTACTTAAAATTTATTTGGCATTTTTTTTTTATAATAGTACACATAATTAAAATGTATTTGTACTTCTGATTGAGAAAGAAGAGGCCAGTCTGTCATATCTTGTTGTGGTAGGGTTTTTTTTGTTTTTTTTTTAATGTTCCAGTGGGATTTGAGAGTTCCCCAGAGCCCCCACCACCTAAAAATTTTATCACTAAAGTCATTATTGGGTTAGACCACAAAGCACAGACAAAACAGAAATTATACCAGAAGCCCTATCATCTAGAAATGGGCTGTTTTGGTTTCTGTAATTGAATCTTAGTACCCTAAAGGAATGAGTCCCAGGACACATAAAATTGATAAGGAAGAGAACACAGAAGTGCCGGTGCTCTGTGATTGGAGCCCCTGAACACTTACAAAACTAGAGGCCAGTCTAAGAAGGATAGAGGTTTGTGAGCGAGGAAAAGAGTAGCTGAAAATAAATACTACAGACAAAGTTTAAAAATATATATATATATGTATTTTTTTTTTTTTGCTGTTTTTTTGCATTTGGCAGTGCTACTTATAGCACAGTTATATCACTAGTCATTTCAATTATTCTCTAAGCCAGGGAGAAAATTATCAGGACTTCCTTAGAAAATCTGTAATTTTAGGTGCACATTTCCAGTTCAGGAAAATCAGTGTTTTTCCTGAATGCTTGAATTTGACTAAAGGGAACACTGGATTTATGTTAAAGGATCATTGGGGAGAGGTTGGGGTGGAGAGAGAACAGAGGGGAGAAAAGCTAAAGTTAAGTTCCTGTTTTTCATTTACTTACATACACAATGCAGTCTTACACATATTACATACTTAACCCATTTATTCTTCACAGAGGTCTGTAAAATGGTATTTTCCTGATTTGCCAAGAACAAAAGGCTCGAGAAGTGAGTTTACATTTTTTTTGTCTAGGCTCAAACCCACCAAATGGCAGTCCTGGGATTTGAACACCAATCTCTCTGAATCTAAAGCTCATTCATACTCTTTTCACAGGAGTATATACTGCCTTTTTAACTACCAGAATTATTATCACAGTTTATTGGTTTCTTGTAAGGTGTTGGTAGCACTTTGATTGGCATGTCTTGGGGTGCCATCCTTAGTTCTGGGTAATAAGGCCAGTGTAGTTTCCTTTACCTTCCACCGTAGTATTGAGAGTAAACATGAGGTCACTATCCTGGGAGGACTCAATGAATTTGTAGTGAAGTTTTATGGACCACAAGGAAGTAAGTATATGTGTTGGTATGTGTTTTTCTATTTTACTTATATTCCTTAATAGACAATGTGAATATCAAGATAGATGGTGATATGTATAGTTCTTGAAAAGTAAATTTAATTGAATTCTAAAAGCAGTAAGGAAATCTTGCTGTTAGGATAAATATTTTATATGCTTTTTCTCTTATCTCTATGTTAGTGTGACTTAATATTAGTCACTTAGCCATGTCCAACTCTTTGCGACGCTATGGACTGGAACCTGCCAGGCTCCTCTGTCCTTAAAATTCTCTAGACAAGAATGCTGGAGTGGGTAGCCATTCCCTTCTACAGGGATCTTCCCAACTCAGGGATCAAACCTGGGTCTCCTGCATTGCAGGTGGATCCTTTACCATCTGAGCCCCTAGGGAAGCCCTGTGAGACAGTATTAAACATAAATTGTGGATTCTGGGTTTTGTGGAAATGTGTTTTGTTGTTTGGGGGGACGGTTGGGTTGGGCACAGGATAGACTGAGATAGTAAGCTATTACTTACCAAATAATTGAACAGTGTTTGAAGAATCAGGTAAATTAGGTAAAAATCAGGTAAAGAAACAGGTAAATTTGAGAGAGAAAATGAATCTATGCTAATTCTAGATTTTTTTTAAAGGAAAGTATTACATTTGAACATAGAGTACCTATGTTCCTAAGAGTTCCCTGACTCTTGAAGGAATTAATTTGCAAGATTCTCAAAAGAGATTAGAATTTAATGTTTAACTTATAGTCAGATTCTCTTTTCTAATTTGGAGACAATTCTAATGTTTTAACATTTTTGCTTTTATTTCAGCACCGTATGAAGGTGGAGTATGGAAAGTTAGAGTGGATCTTCCTGATAAATACCCTTTCAAATCTCCTTCTATAGGTATGTAACTACCCAGTTTCTCTCCTTAGAGAATTTTGAAATGGAGGGAAAAAAAAAAAGAAAACAAGCCTACATTTTATGGGTGATAATTAATTCCAGAAGTATTTGCTCAACTGAATTTCCCCCTTTTTTTTTTGCTCAGGTTATTTAGTAATTTTAAGGAGGGACTTCCATAGTGTGATAAGAGGTGTTTAAATATATCCTTTGCATGTGCTTGTAATGACTGTAAACTCTAGATTTTTCTGTCTTTTAGGGTCAGATTAAATAACTTTAAGACCCACTGTCCATTCAGGCTATTAGCAGTAAAATAATAAACATCTTAAATCTCATTTTAAATGCCAGATTGTTGAAATGAATATTATATAGTGCCTATTCTAGTTCTGTCATTTAAAAATCCTCCTTATACCTTACTTTTGCTTTTGTTCACTCCAACTCTATGTACCTTTTTCCATTCTTTCCACTCGAAATCTTTTTAACCCTCTAAACGGCTAAAGAAAGTAGAAACAAACCTCAGTAGGGTTACATAAAATACCCTCAGTGAGGTATTTTTTCCTCACCTTCATCTTCTGCAGTAATTGGTGATATTAACTTCTCACGCCCATTAAGGCATTAGTGACAGTTTAGGTATTAGCATCAGATGCTGCGGAGGTATATTTTGGTTGAGCTTGATACCTTTAAATATTTTGAGACTGTAGTAACTTAGCTAACTTAAGCCAGCTTGTAAAATTTTCATTCTGTAGATGATTTTTAGATGTTGCAAAGAACTGGCCAATTTTAAGAAGGAAGAAGAAAATAAAATTGGAATATGTTTAGAGCGTTCTTTGTCACAGTGAATCACTTACTCAGAATTGTCAGAGCTAATGCCAAAACTCTTGGAATTTACACTTCTCCCTTGCCCCTGAAAAAGGGTTTTTTAAAAGAGGTGAACCAAAGATATTCCGAGCTTTGTGTTTTAATTCGAAGCCCCCATGTTTCTGACCGGGATAAATAATGTGAAAATGTTAGTAATTCCCAATCAAATGCAGTGTCCTGTCCCCCTGACATCTAGCTACTTTATATGTTTTACAATTTAAGGCTATAAAAATACTATAGAGCATCTATAATTCCTTTTTAGTCTGGGAACTCTCAATGTTCATTTTAAGAATAAACTGGTAATTTCCTCTGAAGGGCCCTTAGCTGAGTTTTAAACTTGGTAATTAACAAGATGGGCTTGCCTCCCAGCTGGCTCAGTGGTAAAGAATCTACCTGCCAATGCAGGAGATGCAGGTTCAGTTCCCGGGTCGGGAAGATTCCCTGGGGAAGGAAATGGGAACGCACAGCAGCATACACACCTGGAAAATCCCAAGGACAGAGAAGCCTGGCGAGCTGCAGTCCATGGGGTTGCAAAAGAATCAAACATGACTTAGCAACTAAACAACAGTTGCGGAGATACTTTATGGATAATTGAATTGGAAATCTCCCATTGCTATCAGAACCTGCAAACTGTAGAGTTATCAGATGGTGATATAGGAAGGGTGCTCTGAGGTGTTGAATCTTTCAGACAGTTCCTGACTGTATCTGACTTAATACCTTAGCACAGGTGGGACAGCAGCTGTTTCTCAGTTCCTGGCGTGTTGGAATGTAGGTAGAATCTTTAAACCTTTATAAACAGAATCTCCAAACCATATAAATTCATTCAGGTATATTTCATAAGTAACTGTTTACCTATAGAACTAAAAATTTGCTTGCTAAATCTAGCAGTAAATTTAGTTTTGTTACCCTAGATTCCTAATCAGAAAAGGAACAGTATAGCTTGATGAAGCTAACAGTGAACCAAGACATGCAATTACATATCCTATAGAAATGTAGTTATTTCTCAAATCTTTTTTTTTAATTTCTCAAATCTTAACATGTTTCCAGGTAACAATTATTTCATCATAACTTTCAAAGTAAAACTATCTGAACTTCAGACATTGTTTGTTAACTAATGATGCAACAGAAGCCTCTGTACTTTCTTAAGTTAATGATGTAACATGAAATTGGTTAGGACAAATGACTAGGCTAACTTTACTTCTTGATAATTTTTCCTTTCCCTTTCTGTGTGCTTTTAGAACTTGATAATACCTACAAATGTGTATGTACCATCTTCTCTTAGGGAAGTAGATCTAGTTGAAATATTTTACAAGCTGTCCTTGTTTCCTCCAGAGGAAGATTGCATAAGAGTTTTAATCAGTCGTGTGGGGTGACCCATTTCAGGTCATCAACAATGTAATTACTGTTGCAATGTGCTTTAAACATTTTGAGAGGTAGTAGCTCCTGCAGAGTAGGCAAGGATTTGTTTTTGAATTGTATACATAGCTGCAGGAGTATACAGAAGAGATGAGATAAATCCACCCTAACTGTTCTTTTTAAACCCTGCCTCAATAGTATATAAGCAAGCATGCCCTTCTTTTCAGAGCCAAATATTGATCTCTTAAATATTAAGATGTGTAAATTTAGATTAAGTGTTTTGATGATTAAGTCTTGGGATTTTAAAATATATATCTATGTATACTTTTTTGTTTAATGTTGCTATGTATATTTTTTAATTGTGTAAATGCTCCTTATCGATAGGAATGTAAGAAGGTCCAGGCGAGCAAAACTAAAGAAAAATTAAAATGTCTTATAATCCTGTCCCTCAGTGGATATTATTATTTATATAAAGTACATAAAAATGTACTTTAAAACATTTTTCTCTAAATATTTAAGTGTATATGCAATGTACTTTTACAGGTAAACTGTAAACTCCAAACACAGTTTAAGGGAGTTTTCAATAGTTACCTGATGCTTGACATGTAACTGAAAAAGTCCTTTTAAAAACAATTTTCATCTTTAAGTAAGTAAATTAGCTCCTTAATTTACTTACATCTTAACTCCTCTTTGGAAAGAGAAGGAATATTGACAACCTCCTGGGGAAGTTACCAGCTTACTCTTACAAAGCTATCATTGTTCCAAATATCCTAATAAGCTCATCTTTTGGAATTTTACATTCTCTTTGAATATCATGAGTGATGGCAAGTCTTGATGCTTTGAAGCTGGATATAAATTTTTGAAATGGCTAAAGGTCATTTAATTCCAGAGAATAAGATGAATTGAAAAACCGAGTAACATCAGTTGAAGTCTATAATGATATATGATTATGAAACTGACTGAAATTTAAGAGTTACGATTTCCTTTTTAAACTGGCCCTTTGGGCTCTTTCAGAAAGAAATTCTAAAACTCCTTTAATCAGTTGTAACATCATTGAGATATTTGCATCGTTTTCCAGAGAGACTGCTTTGATATAAATCATATTTGAGTCTCTTAAGTTCTGATTTATTGGAAGGCCCACACTTTCATCTCCCCATTCAGAAACTAGAATGAGAGCAGTGCTGCTGGGCGTGTCACCATGTAGGTAGGAGGGTCTGACTGGTCAGTGGACTGGTTATCAGGAAAGAATGGTTCTGGCCCCAGTTCTCCTTGACTCTGATGATACTTATCTGAATTGTTTCCTCTTATAGAAAATGAGATAATGTAATTAAATGGACTGTGCATGTTTGATATTGACCAGTGTATTAAATATTCAGGATGTATGATATGGCATTCCACCAGATACTTAGGAAGGCTGTATAAGGCTTTTCACCAGTTGGGAGGGAAAAATATCAATGTATTTAAAATACCGCATTTGCTCTAGTGACAGCATTTCATTGCTTTTTAGGAGAAGTGTGACTCAGCACCTCAATTGAGGAAGAGAGTATATGGAGGAGATAGATGTTTACACGAATTGTATCTCATGTATTGAGAATAGAGTCTTTACAAAGCTTCAGAGAGGTGAAGCTGAACGTAAGGACTTTATAAATACTCTTTCAAAACCCTAGGTGATGCCCAGTCCATGAAGGTTTTGTTCTATGCAAAGAAGTTGCTGCGGAGACTGTCTTATTCCGTACTTCTCTAGATTCACACTTTTCTGCCATTACACATGTGCTCAACTAAGAAAAAGCTTTTACCCATCTAAGGAAACAGACTTGCAGTTGCTGCCTATGGGGAAATAAAGATGAGTGATCCCATATATAAAGAGGTCACATAGAGCAATTTTTCCCTAAAAATGAAAAATAACCAATTAGCATAGGATACAAAATCATTTTGTGTCCAGTCCAAAGAATGCAAAGATTAAAAAATGAAAAAATATATGACTTTCTAAATTGGCAAGTTAAACATTGTTGGCAAAGGTATTATGATACAGCCAACCTAGCAGTATATATTGATAAAATTTTATATCCTTTGAGTGATTTTACTTAAAATAAGGAAATATTCAGACCTGTACACTAAGATTAATGCACAGGAGTATGTAAATTGCAGTATTATTTTTAAAACTTAAAAGTTGGAAGCAACCTAATGACTCAGTTGATAAATAAGGTAGTTAAATTATGGTTCCTTTTATCCCCCCTCATTCTTACACCACATAGTATGTAGGACCTTTAGTTCTCCAACAAAGGATAGAACCAATGCTCCCTGCAGTGGAAGCATGGAATCTTAACCACTGGATACTGCCAGGAATGTCCAAATTACAGTACATTTTAATAAACAATATGTTTTACCCTGTTTGAGTTTCCTGAGCCATACAGCAAATTCCCCTTGGCTATCTATTTTACATATGGCAATATAAGTTTCCATGTTACTCTTTCCATACATCTCTCCCCATGTCCATAAGTCTGTTCTCTGTTTCTCCATTGCTGCAAGTAAATTCTTCAGTACCATTTTTCTAGATTCCGTATATGTGTTAGAATACAATATTTATCTTTCTCTTTCTGACTGAATTCACTCTGTATAATAGGTTCTAGGTTCATCTACCTTATTAGGACTCAAATGCGTTCCTTTTTATGGCTGAGAAATATTCCATTGTATATATGTACCACAACTTTATCCACTCATGTGTCGATGGACATCCGGCTGCTTCCATGTTCTAGCTATTGTAAATAGTTAACACCATCTTTAATAAAAGA